CATTAGCGTGAAACCAAACAACCTATTCTCACTTGAAAGTGGCCCACTGAGGTCAAACCTGAAGAAAGGCTTTTTAGAAGAAATCTGCTTCGGTATTTATGGTTCAGTGAAAATGAACCAAGCCGCCATGCATCAAAACGGCCCATCGGCACCACCATACGACACTGTATACGACTCGGGACACGTTTACAGAATAAGTGGAGGTCATGTCGAGAACACGTCCCCAGCACAGGTAAGACCGATCCCGAAACATCCAGTCGCATTGAGCCGAAAAATTGCTGAGAGCTATGTTTGATTGTGTACTAGTATTTTTTATGTAATCTATATCCCCCCCCAAATATATGAAGGAGTTCACGAATCAAAACAAACCCGATCACGTGACGAACCTGTATTGTATATTTCCTCGGTGGGAGCAGCCACAAAATCAACACCTTAGCAAATGACGGATATGACGTCACCATATACGCCTTGTTCTAGTTAAACGACGTAATGTCACCGACCATGACTCCCATGTGAACTATGATGGTCTGACTGTATGTACACGTGACACAATAACTAACCAATCAATTCTACACAATACACATGGACTAAAGGTTAGTTAGCAGTAGACGTGCGTATTTGGTCAACTGTTCGCTTCTAACATGTCTGTTATTTTTAAATGGCGGCTGTGCAGGGTTCAAAGTCCACCAGCTCCGCGTCACATACAGGAAGTACGTAAATCAAATTTGATTTAATGTATAGCAGTCGAATGAATTAAATCGACCCCCCTCCTTTATCGTAAACAGAAAAAAAACAAAAACTATTTTGTTTTTCCAGTCGTGGATTATACGGGCGTGTGCCACAATAAATTGTCGTTTGTAGCAGATTGTTTCCAAATGCATCAGGCATAGTACCAGGCACTTTCTGTGTGTAGTAAAATGATCCAAAAATACACACATAGTATATTCCCCACAGTGCGGCAATGCATGTTTCAATGTGACCGCTACATGGCACTGTGCACTGTAACCACAGATATACGGTGTGGCAGACATGTACAGTACATAAATCAAAAATATGTATAATGTCACATTGTTAAATGATATGATATAACACACTCGGGACACTGGGGACATGGGACATAGTTACCGAATCAGAAATTAACCATATACTATGGTCGGCTACCGTTTATTGAGCGATGATTCCAAGTCTTCGGTGTCGTCGATAGCTGGAAGTTCGGTAGTCGGTTAAGCTACCTAAAAAGGAAATCGAGTCTCATATTTCTGTAAATTAATTTTTGAATCATATATGACACGGGTCATTGTTCTGGTAATATTCAGATTGATCGGCTAATGAAATACACTGTCCGTTATTCCGGCTTATATTTATATATTAAGAGATATTTGACGTTGTGAACAGCCTGAGTGTGATCTCTACCAGAACAGAATTTGTAGAAATCCAGAGTCAAAATGAAATCCTCAAAAATCAAGTTAGATAAATTTGTTGACAGCTGGGGAGATCGGTTTTCATCAAAAAAATCAAATTGTATGCGACTGTATGAGGCGACTCGAGGCATAGACAAATATGTTGTGGCACCTAATTTCCTGTGTATCTTCGGGCGGAGTTACGTCACAAGACGTTCCACGTTGCTAAGACTCGTGATGAACT